ACGTGACATGGGCTGGTGGGGGGTTCGGGAGGATGAGTTCGGCACAACATCTGAGTTGGGACAGAGAAATGCTGGGATGAATCACCCTGGATGAGAGAGAGAGACAGTCCTGGGGCTGGGCTGGTCACACCACGGGGAGGAGAGGGAGTGGGTTGCGGGTAATGAAGCCCAGTCTGCCTCTGACTGGGCCCAGCAGGGAGGGACCTTGTCCTGTTGAATCAGTAGCCAGTCTAGACAGTAAACGCTGACAACATCTCTCACGTGGCTGGTCGTGTCGCATCAGATTTGGGGAGAGTGGTGGTGACTGTGATGCTCTCATTCTAGGTCTCCATGGCAGCCAGGCAGCCAGGGAAAGTCAGGGACCACCATGGAGGCTGGGAGGGGATCAGAATCGAGCACCGTTGCCCTTGGGGGGCTATCCCAATCTTAAAGTCACTCCCCTACCCGATGGGGAGCACGGACAGGACACAGCCAGCTGGAATCAGAGAAACGGGAAAGGGGAGGAAAGAGCAGCAGACCACACGCGACGGGACCCCAGCACCACAGCCGGTTCTGTTAGGTGGACTCACCCAGCCCCCACTTTTGGTCCTCGGATCAGCTTATAGACTCAGTTTTCGTGCTAGAAGGGACCTTACTTCATCAGTGGAGAACCTGAGGTCAGAGAGGTTAAATGACGTGGGAAGGGTCGTATGGTGAGTGGTGAACCTGGGGCCGAGGAAGGCACGGTGATCCCTGCCCTCCACCCGCTGTGCTGGGCAGGTCATCTCCCCCCCATCCCCCCCTTGGTCCTTTCTCTCTGCTGTTGCCTTGAAATAGAGGCTGAAACAGCTGCCCCAGACTCCACAAGGGGTGATGGCCGTGCCCCACACCCTGGTCGCAGAGCCTGGGCCCACACACATCGCTGAGTGTCTGGGGACTGAGGAGTCCGCAGGGAGCCTCTCCCTCCTGCCTGGCTCTCCACCCATTCAGGGCTTTGCTCTGTGAAGTGGCCTACTTTGCCCTGTGGGTCAGTTCATTTTCAGGCTTCTGTTAGAGGAGACCATTGGCTGTGCCCCAAGGCGTACAGCGCAGGAGAGAAAGGCGAAGGAAAGCTGGGGGGAAATGTGTTTGGTGGCTGCGTGCTTTGCCTGCCGTGGACAAGGGCCTTATACCGCCCATGAACTCACACAGCAAACATTCTTACCTCCCGCCCCATGTTAGAGATGAGGAAACCCAGGGCCTTCTGATTCCAGAACTCGTGCCCTTCTCCACTTTTCAGACTAGTCTTACAAGGAGGGCTGGGCCAAAAGTACACACAACAATAAACAAGCGAGAGAATAGGACCGTGATGGGAGAAGGGTTACGGGCCAGTCCGGGTGGGAGGCCAAGGAGAAGGGCCTTGTGAGGTGCAGTCAGCCCCTGTCCCCCCACCCGCCTCAGACGTCTCCCCACCCATGCCCCCCCCCCTCTTCCGCTGCAAGGTCTCCTAGGGACACAGCTATGTCAGTCTGGGGTCCTGCCCTCCCCCCTCCCCCCACCCGGCTGCTGACACGGCTGAACCAGACCCTGGGAGATGGAGGGGCCAGGGGGTGTGTGAATGAGGTATGGAGGGGCCAGCTCCTCGGGTTTCAGGAGCGAGAGCTTCGGGTGTCTGGTGGGTTAAAAATACAGAGGCCCCAACTCAGGGTCATTTGACACCAGTGGCTGAGCCGGCTGAGCCCAAGGGCCTGAAAGTAGGGGCTCAGCGGGAAGGCGCCGAGCCGAGCAGCGGAGCGCAAAGGGTGGGGGAGGGTGCAGCTACTGGAAAGCATAGGGTGGAACTGAGGAGCCGAGAGCAGGAGAGGGAGCGGGACGGGATGAGTAGTCTGGCAGCTGCAGGAGAAGAGGAGGAAACGGAGCGAGCCTGGGCCACCGTTGAGTTCCATTTCACGCCCTCGCAGGCACACGGAAGGTCAGACTCATCGTGGACAAGTCTGATGGCCCAGGGTCTCTGTCCACATGCTCCCCTCCCCCAGCGGGCAGCCCACGTGAGAGACGGGGCTGGATGTCATCTACAATCTACCACCTACTGCTGCCCCGTGGGTCTGCCCAGCCTTCCCACTGGCTGCGGAGCTGTGCGCACTGAGCCACACTCCCGTGAGCCGGAGACGGTTCTGAGGTCTCGGGCTCCAGCGTGCCCCGCCTAGGCTGGCTCCGGCCCCTCCTGCACCAGGGGCAGCTGTGCTCCAGGACTCACTCTGCCACACGCCCGAGACTTTCTGTGGCCTCCGCCCTGCAAGGTCTGCCCACGGGAGCGTGGGAAAGTTCGCTCCTCCAACACAATTCCACGCCGCCGCTTGGGTGCAAAATCAACACCGTCGCTCCAAATCGGAGCTATCTCGGGGTGGGCATGGGGGTTTCTGGCTTTGACCCAGCCCCGCCATGGGGGCGCCTCCGTTTACCAGCGAATGGTAAGCGCCCTGGAGAAGGTCCTTCCTCCCCAGGTACCCAGAGCTGAACTCATCCACTTGGCCCTCACCCCCACGATGGGCTCCAGAAAGTTAGAGAGAGCCCTTCCCAACTCGGCTGGGCTCTCGGGTGCACGGACTTAACCTACATCCTTGGCGCAGGATTTTCCAGTGTTAATCCCCCTGCCCCCTAGTGTTTATACCTGATCCTCCTTGTGAAAGACATAGGAATGAATGACTGCTATTCGCTGCTCTCCTCGGCACCAGCAGCCGGGGGACCCTCCCGCTCCCCTGTGCGCAGAAAACCAAGGATCAGAGTCCAGAGCAGGAGCGGGGGGCAGCGGCCAGGGGCTTTCTCCATTCCTCGGGGGGCAGAGGCGCCCCAGGCCCATCTCGCAGCGCTGCCCACCCCCCGCCCGTCCTGCCCCTGCTTTCCAAGTTAGGAGTGCTGAGTGAAGCGGAAGAAACCGGCTGGAACTGAGCCCGGCCTCCAGTCCTGGACGAGGCTCCATCTTTTATTCAGAGAATGACCTCATCCTTGGTCCTGGTTCTTTAAAGGGAAGGGCAGGGGGTCTCACGCCTGCAGACTGGATCGCCTTTGCGCTGCCCCTCTTCGCTACTGGATCAAAGAAACAGACTTCACCTGGAAGGGGTTCCAGGTTCTAGGACCTAGAGTTAATACTGCGCGTGTCCCTTCTCTCCTGCTTCGTGGGTTTAACCTCTGATGCGGAACATCTCCCTCTCTACCCCCACTTCCTCCTCTCTGAGTCCCCAGGCCCTCACTTCCCCTACTTACCCCAACTCTGCCTTCACCAGCCCCAGTTTCATTTACTTCTCGGCTCATCTGCTCTTATTTTTAGCTCCAGCCCTTTCCTTTCTTAATATGGTGATGCGCTAGGCTGGTGTGGGGCAGGGGCGAGGAGCCCTGGACATTGTGGGGAGGGGAGAGGAGGGAGGCTCTGGGAGCCGGGGGAGAGGCGCGGGAGGTGGGAGATGCCAGTCTCATGGAGCTGTCCTGGCCTCAGAAGGTTACCCGTCTCCCCTGCCAATTCTGAAAACATATTTAGACAGGACCAGGTGGGGCTGAGGGGTGCCAATCTCAGGGGCAGCTCGGGTTCCCTCCCCGCCCCCTGCTCCTAGTCCTCCTCCTGACCCTTTTTCTCTTGGCTCTGTAGACAGTGTCTCCAGGACCCAGCAGTGTCCTCTGTCCACTGCCCTAGGCCCTTCCCCACCCCACCCTCACTGTGAGCCCCCGGCTCAGGAGTCAGGACCCAGGGCTCCTCCCTCCCCAGCGAACCTCTTCTGGACCAGCAGAGTCGACCGAGATCTCACTACCTCCATGCGCGCCGCCCTCAGGATGGGGGCCAGAGCTGTGCCGGGCCTGCGGCTGGCGCTGCTGCTGCTGCTGGTGCTAGGGACACCCGAGTCCGGGGTGCGGGGGCAGGACGGGCTGGACTTCCCCGAGTACGATGGCGTGGACCGCGTGGTCAATGTCAACGCAAAGAACTACAAGAACGTGTTCAAGAAGTACGAGGTGCTCGCGCTGCTCTACCACGAGCCCCCGGAGGACGACAAGGCCTCACAGAGACAGTTCGAGATGGAGGAGCTGATCCTGGAGGTGAGTGCCGAGGGCCGCAGGCCCGGCCCCTGTTGTGCAGCGCCCCCACCCCGACCCCCATCCTATCACCCCACGCAGGCCTTTGAGGGTGACAGTGTGGCAGGACCCCTGTCTTGACCATTAGGACCCAAGGGGCATGTGGCCTCAGCCAAAGGAGAGAGAGAGACTTGGGGACCAAAAGTACCACTGGAGTCTGGGGGTGGGGTGGGAGGGGAGGGAGACTGTGAGGAATGTCTCCTCCATGCTGTAGGAGGCTGGTAGTGCCAGGTGTGGCTAGGACGGGGGTGTCCTCAGAAGGGGGGCAAAAAAGGAGAAGGGAGGTTCTCCAGGGGAGGGGGGACGTGCCCCTCTGTGTACTTTAGGAGCAGCACCCCGAAGAGGGCTACACTGAGTATCAATGTCACCGTTACTAACATCTTGCAAGTCATTTACTTCATGGCTATCGGTGAACCAGAGCCCAGCAGGCCTCCACATGCCTCAGTCCCCCGCTCTGCCTCCGCTCCCTTGCTCCCCAGCTGCCCCTATTGGATCAGGCAGGCTATTCTGGTGGGAAAATTCTTGTGGCTGGAAGAGGCTTCAGAGTGCCTTCCCAGCTTCTCTTTGTGGGAAGGCTCTCCACACCCCCAAGCTGGCCGCGGGCTCAGAGGAGAGAGGGGCTCTTCTACAGGGAAAATGCCTGCGCCTGGAGATGCCGGGGCGATGCAGCCGCACATCCCTCCCGGGGCCGGCATGTGAGCGCTCCTCGTCCTGGCCTCAGCAGCCCCTTCTCTCTCCTGGCTGTAAGACAGGCCCCGCTGACCCAGGGCTTGGAGTATTTCAGGGCGAGATACCAGGACCTCTCACGTCTGTGTGCCCCTGCCAGGCTGGAACCTGCCATCTGAGTAATGAGCTGAGTATTTTTATCCTGAGGGCTCAGCACCCGTGGCCATCCACCTGCCAGCTGCCGCCCTTCCTGTCCCCCTGGGACTCCAGGAGGCTGTGAGGTGGGGTTGAGCAGAAAGCCACACCCAAGGCAGAGCGCACCAGGCTGAGAGTCTAGCCGGCAGGCCGAGGGGCCGCAACCAGGGGAGTGAGAGTGAAGGGGAAGGTTCACCTGGATGACGGGCACCCAGCTGTGTCTCCTCTGGCTCTGGCCCTCTCCCTCTGAGGGTGACAAGTGCTGGTCCAGTGACCTCTACTTTCAGGAGTTCCCCGCTCATCAGCAATGTGACCAGCCCACCCCAGCCCACTACCCTCCTGCTCTCCAAAATTCTCCCCATCGCGGGTCACTTGTGAGAATCCCAGGGATGTTGCCCCACCTTGGGCATGGCCTTTGGTGAGGATGGATGCGTGAGCCCAGCCCTGAGCGAGGGAAGGGCCTCAGTCTCTCTAAAGCCAGATTCCTCCGCATTCCTGAGGAAGTAGGCTATTGCGCTTAGCGCTTCGAAGTTCAATGTAATAAGCTCATGGCAGCCCTAGCTGGTTTGGCTCAGTGGATACAGCACCGGCCGGTGGACTGAAGGGCCCCAGGTTCGATTCCAGTCAAGGGCACATGTCCAGGTTGCAGGCTCAATCCTCAATAGGGGACATGCAAGAGGCAGCCAATCAATAATTCTTTCTCATCGCTGATGTTTCTGTCTCTCCCTTGCCTTTCCTGTCTGATATCTTGTGCCCGCATCCCCAGTAGGGGGCGTGCAGGAGGCAGCCCAATGATTCTCTCTCATCATTGATGTTTCTAGCTCTTTTTCCCTCTCGCTTTCTCTCTGAAATCAATAAAAATATATTTAAAAAAAATAACCTCATTGCAAGCGAGCAGTAGATGTTCAGGCATTTACAGAGCGAGGGAACGTAAGGGTGGGGCTGTAGGAAAGGTGGGGGCTTTCTGGATCCTGACACAGTGTCAAGGTCAACTCTTATGCCTGCACCCCAAACAGCCCACTTGGAAACATGCGGTGGGGAATAGGGGTTACTGTGAACTCCAGGGGCTGACTCTAACCTCACCCTCCCTGCAGTTAGCAGCCCAAGTCCTAGAAGACAAGGGTGTTGGCTTCGGGATGGTGGACTCTGAGAAGGACACAGCTGTAGCCAAGAAATTAGGTAAGGGCGGGTGGGAGCGCAAGGAGGGGACGGTGGCCTGGAGACCGAACGGGCAGCCCTGGTACGGGCTAGGAACTCCACCCTGCTATTCTGAATGGAGAAAATACTGACATTAGAAGGGTCATGGCCAAGGGTCCTGGCCTCTTTTATTCCTTATAGAGACCGGTGCTCAAGTCCCAGAAAGAGGTGGACACGGCCTTCTTCATGTTTTTCAGATAACTAAACCACAGGACCAGGTGCTGGGGGAAAGGGGAGTCAGGGAACTCAAGTGGGGCTGGAGAGGCCTCAGTAAACGCCTCTTCCCACCCCTCCCCCTCCAGAGCCCTGGATGGGTGTTACAACACCGGCCACCAGGGGGCAACACAGGCCTGAGACTGGCCATCAGGCATGCATGGGGGTGGGGTAGTCAGTGATTGAGTCTTCCAGTCAGTAACAGCAGAGGTTAAAGGACTAAACTGGCAACTGGCCACTGGAGTCCTCAGGGGAGGTCATATGAATATCTCTCTTTAGTATGACAAACAGAGAAAGAGAAATCTTTCTACATCCTCCCCTAACACCCCCACCTGATCTCAGCTTCTCCCTGGAGAGCCCCTTGAACCAGGGCATAGACCCCAGGGGGGTAGGGCTAAGGGGCAGAGGAGGTGAGTGAGGCTGGGGAAGGGGAGGGGAGGTGGCGGGGTCCAGTGGGATATAGAACAGGCTCTGGCCCTGAATTAGGACTCTGGGGCCTGTGGGAAGGTTGGGGTCATGCTCTTCTCTGGCCCACGCCCTAGGACTAACCGAAGAGGACAGTATCTATGTGTTCAAGGGAGATGAAGTCATTGAATATGACGGCGAACTCTCTGCTGACACCCTGGTGGAGTTTCTGCTTGATGTGAGGATTCATGACCCTGGACCTAATGTCCTTGCTTTAAGACTTTGTGCCTATCCTTAACCAAACCCATCCATATACATGCACACACACACACACACACACCAGTGAGCACCTTCCTCCTGTTCCCAGCCCTCTTCTCCTCATCCTCATTCCTCTCTCACCAGTGAGGACGGAAACTCACTCCCTTCCTTCAATGTCCCTGCTATTCCAGGTCCTAGAGGACCCTGTGGAATTCATTGAGGGTGAACGAGAGCTGCAGGCATTTGAGAACATCGAGGATGACAACAAACTCATCGGCTACTTCAAGAGCAAGGACTCAGAGCGTGGGTAACCCTCCGACGCCACGGCTCTCCTCCCTGGACTCCCCCCTCCCCCACACTTAACCCACCTCACGGCCCCTCTATCTCCTAACGCCTCGCCAGTCAGCTCCATCACCTGCCCCGATCTCCTGCACTCTGGTGGCTCCGCACCTCCAGTCTTCCACCTCCCCCATCACATGCTTTACTCACTCTCAGAGGGTTAGAGAGGGTGGGTCTCAGAACTAGGGAGAAAGACGGGAGAGGGCCCCTTGCACAGCCTGCTCCCCCAGAGACTGACTCTGTGTCCCCCTCCAGATTACAAGGCTTTTGAGGACGCCGCAGAGGAGTTCCATCCATACATCCCCTTCTTCGCCACCTTCGACAGCAAGGTACGCCACCCCTCGTCCTCCTCAGCAGCCCTCCAGTCCCTCTCCCAGAGTCTATAGGGGCCTATTCCCTCCCTGCACACCACACTCCCACCTCTACCTTGGGGCTCCCCCACCCCAAAGATTTTAGATGATCTAACCCAGTCCTCTCACGTCCAATCAAAGCCCAGAGGAGTGAAGACACTTGTCCAATGTCACAATGGCAGTCTGACTCCCTTCCTCTTCCCTGCTCCTCCGTCACACTGCTGCTTACCGTAACCCTGCATCCCCTGCTCCCCGGTCACACTGCTGCTCACCGTAACCCTGCATCCCCTGCTCCCCGGTCACACTGCTGCTCACCATAACCCTGCATCCCCTGCTCCGCCCCCACCCCCAAAGGTGGCAAAGAAGCTGACCCTGAAGATGAACGAGGTTGACTTCTATGAAGCCTTCATGGATGAGCCTGTGACGATCCCAGACAAGCCCAACAGCAAGGAGGAGATTGTCAGCTTCGTGGAGGAGCACAGGAGGTAGGGCCGGGCAGGGCCCTGAGCGGGCGAGAGCACCTGCCTGAGACGTGGGCAGGGGGCGGGCGGGGGGTGGGGGGATCTCAGACAACCAGGAGGCATCTCTCACCTGCGGTAACCCACCTCTGGATGCCAGTGCTCAAGATACGCTGACTCTTTTCCAGTCTTTTGCACCCTAACCGGCCCTGAGCCCTCACACGTAGAAGGTTCTCCATGAATGTGTGCTGTGGGTTGTGATGAGTGTGGAGTGCCTGTGGTCTGCCCGGAACCGAGAGGTGCTTCCTACCTGTATTCTCCTATTTAATCCTTTTAACACCCTCAAGTAAAGAGGTTCCACAGGTAACAAGTGTCAGAACTGAATTCCAACCCAGATCTGGCCTGGGCTCTTCCTCATACATCACCCTGCACCAGTCGTACTCAGCAGGGTGGAGGGACTGGTGAGGTAGGGTGAGGATTTTGCTCTCCAGGGGATATTTGGCAGCGTCTGGAGAGAGTGTTTGGCTGGGGGCAATGCTGCTGGTATTTAGCGGGTAGAGGCCAGGGATGTTGCTAACCATCCTGCAGTGCACAGAACAGACCCCACCACAAAGAGTTACCCGGCCCCAGATGTCCATAGTGAGAAACCCTGCCCTACACTCACTCATCGCTCCCTTCTTTCATAGAACTGCACAGCTGGAAACGCCCGTTCATCCGTGTAAACCACACTCACTCTCTCCCTCTAGATTACGGTCCCCTTTATCAGGACAGAGTGTGTTTGCTTTGTTTAACTCTGTCTACACAGCACCTAGCACAGGGCTCAGAACATCTCAGACACCCAAATTTATTGAATGAATGAGTGAATGAATGAATGAAAAAAATGAATACTCAGATGCCCAGTTCTTACCTTCCTACCCAAAGGCTCTCTTGCAGTCCCCTTGCCCACCCTCCATCCTCCCACCTGTTTAAACCATGCAATGATCTGAGCCTGGTGCCCAGAGCTTAGACTTTGCCAGGCGTCTTTGTTCTGGGCTACAAGCTGCCCGTGCCCTAGGCAAGGCCCACAGGCAGCCTCTGCTAAGGGGACTCTCTGGGGGGTGTCCTCTGTCTGTTCTAGATCGACTCTGAGGAAGCTGAAGCCTGAGAGCATGTATGAGACCTGGGTGAGTACCCCGAGACAGGGCCAGGCCCTGGGGGAGCATGGGTGGGTGCAGAGTCAAGCCCTAGAAACGCCCTCATGCCTCACTTGTAGGAAAGACAATGCGCCAGCAAAGGTTGGGGGTTTTTGTTCTGAAGAATATGTCACCTGTAAGTTGATGAAGATGACAAGGTAGCCCTAGCTGGTTTGGCTCAGTGGATGGAGTGTCAGCCTGTGGACTGAAGGGTCCCGGGTTCAATTCTGGTCAAGGGCACATGGCAAGGATGTTCAATTCCGGTCAAGGGCACATGGCAAGGATGCGGGCTCGTTCCCCAGTAGGGGGCATGCAGAAGGCAGCCAGTCGATTCTCTTTCATCACTGATGTTTCTATCTCTCTCTCCCTTCTCCCTTCCTCTCTGAAATCAATAAAAATATATTAAGAAAAAAAAATGACAAGGTAGAGCCACAGTTCTGGGGCGGAAGGGTTTGCCAGAGGAGGTCTGGGGCCTAGAGCTGAAGGGAGGTGTCACTTGGAAAAGGGTCACCACCATAAGAAGTCACCTAATCCAGAAGCTGAGTTTCCGTAAAATTTAGGTTCAGGGAAGAGGTAGGGTCTGTTCGGGGTTCTCTGACTTTGGGGAGTACGGCTAAGGCCCCCCTCCTTCCCCTGCCGCAGGAGGACGACATGGATGGAATCCACATTGTGGCCTTTGCGGAGGAAGCTGATCCCGGTGAGGGAGGAAGGCTGGATGAACTGGGGGGAGACGGGGTGTTTGGGAGGCATTCCTAGGAGAGTGCAGGTGGCCTGGGCTAGACATGTGGAGCTGCGGGAGGTGAGGAGAGATCCGGGTTCTGTCTTCTGCTTGTCCCTTTTCTCTCCACCCCCCTCATGCTTCTCGCTTGTGTTCCCTCCAAGACGGCTATGAGTTCTTAGAGACGCTCAAGGCTGTGGCCCAAGACAACACTGAAAACCCTGATCTTAGCATCATCTGGATTGACCCTGATGACTTTCCCCTGGTAAGAGGCACCGCTCGGGCCCGCTGTCCTGTTAGGGTCTAGGCTATGGCATGTTCTGAAGGGAGCTTGTTTCTGAGTTCCTATCCCAGCTTTTAGCGGGAGGCCCTGGGAGATGATGCCTGCTGCATGTGCAAGGGCACTGTGGGCATGGAGAGAGCCTGAGAGGGGAGCGGGATGGGAAGTGACCCACATGGGACCTCACCCACATGGCTCCCAGAGCAGAGGCTGGGCAGAGGTTGGCTCCTTCCAGAGAAAAGGAGAATTTGGGGAGCAGATGGATACATGCACCCTGCACGTGGATGTGCACAATCACAGAATCGAAGCACAGAGGTTCCCTGTTTCAGGGACAGCTTTGTTCCCAGCCTCATCCCCACCACCCAGCATTCATTGTTGAAAACTAACTGAATGTGAGGAAATGGGCAGTTCCCAGGCATGACTGCCTCCGTGTAGAGATGTGGAAGCGGAGGGCGGGGAAGAAGTGACTTGCCCAGCATCACAGGGTCACTCAGTGGCAGACCCAGGATCAAAACAGGGAGGCGTCCAGATGCCTGGCTGGTCCTCCTGATACTTTCCCTTCAGAGTTTTTCCCTTTAACTCAGTGGTTCTCAGCCTTCTGGCCCTTTAAATACAGCTCCTCATGCTGTGACCCAACCATAAAATTATTTTCGTTGCTTCTTCATAACTGTAATGTTGCTACTGTTATGAATCGTCATGTAAATATCTGATATGCAGGATGGTCGCGGCCGCCAAAGGGGTCGGGACCCACAGGTTGAGAACCGCTGCTTTAACTGCTTAGCTCTACCTATGCTCTCAGGCCCTGCAGCTGGGCCTCCTGCTTTCCTGGGCTCCTGGCACTCTTTATCCCTGCGCTGACCCTCACACCCTCCTGGACTCATGTGCCCTCGACCCCCTTAAGCTGCCCCATGTGGTCTCTCCACAGCTGGTTCCGTACTGGGAGAAGACGTTTGACATCGACCTGTCAGCCCCACAAATAGGAGTCGTCAATGTTACTGATGTAAGTTTCCGTCATTCACCCCTGGTTGACCCTCAACTCTGCTTCCCAGAACAGCTGAGTCTCCTCCGCTCTGCTAAGGAGGAGCCGAGCCTTCCCAGAAGAAGCTGACATGCCCAGCCTCACCCTAACCCCGAATACGGCCGTCTCCACCTGTCAGAACCGGCTGCTCATCCTTTAAGGCCCAGTTCAGGCATCCTCTTCTCCGTGAAGTCTTCCCAGATCGCTCACTTGGAATCATTTCTTCCTTAGCGCTCTCAGAGCCCATTGGCACTGAAAACATGACTTCCATGTGACTATTTATGTGCCGTACGTGTCCCTTCCAGGAGACTTTGAGCTTTTTGAGGGCAGAAATCTCATTCGCATATGACAGGTGCTTTGATAATGTTTGTTGAGTTGAACTTAATAAGCCAGTCTTTGCTTTCATATAATTCTCAGTCTAACCATTCACTACCAGGACAGGTCTGATAAACTCTATAATAAAGATACAAATAAAATGCTAGGAAGGCAAAAAAATCAAAGTGATTTTTGCTTGAGAAAATAAAAAAAAAACACGTTTATTTTTTATATTTTTATTAATTTCAGAGAGGAAAGGAGAGGGAAGTAGAAACATTAATGATGAGAGAGAATCATTGATCGGCTGCCTCCTGCACACCCCACACTGGGGACTGAGTCCACAATCAGGGCATGTGCCCTGACCAGGAATTGAACTTGTGACCTTCTGGTTCATAGGTTGATGCTCAACCACTGAGCCACACCGGTCAGGCAGAGAAGGGTTTACAAGGAGTGTGGCATTCAAAGTGGAGATTGCACAATGTGGAGGAGTTCCACAAGTGAAAATTATGAGAAATCACTTCCACACGAATGGAAAAGTCAGCACAAAAGGTCAAAAGTAGGAAAATGAATATTAGGATCAGGAAAAGGCAAGTCCTTTCTTGTGGCTTGAGAGTCTAGAGGTCTCTGAGGATGGTGCTGGGAAAGCAGGTTGTAAAAAGCCTTGAATGCTGAAGTTTCTGACTTTGCTCTTTAGGCCATGGAGAGCCACCAGTGGTTCCGCATCAAGGGCAGGATAGAGAGGTCTGGTTTAGGAGCTCAGCACGGCAGGAAGACTGCAGGGAAAAAAACCTATTTGCCCATCCAGCCGATCTTTCTACTCCTACGGTCACTGTTCTAACCTAGACCTTCTCCCCTGGCCCCTGACATGAAGGGAGGGGACAGGGGACTCAGGGAAGGATGTGCTGAGCCCATCGATGGGAGGACAGGTCCAGAGCACTAAGTCGGGCTTAGCGCAGTCCTGTCTGTGCTGTGTCCTAGGCGGACAGCATATGGATGGAGATGGACGATGAGGAGGACCTGCCTTCCGCTGAGGAGCTGGAGGACTGGCTAGAGGATGTGTTGGAGGGCGAGATCAACACAGAGGATGATGATGATGACGACGACGACGACGATGATGATGATGACGACGATGATGACTAGTTGCTATGGCAACCATCTCCGTGCCCCACCTGCTGTGTGCTGAGACCCTGGTCCCCATCACCGGGAGGAGAG